CCTCAGCTGCTGCCATCACTGCACATAAGGCTGGGGTTAGGGGGCAGAGCCCCGTGAGCAGATTGGGGGCAGCAGACCGAGACAGGCGGGATGGAGGAGTTCAGGTCTCCAGGTTCTCCCAAGGCAGCTGCCAGGAGGGGAGCCTCGGGAGAGCCCGAACGCCTAACCTCCCCTGGTCCAGCAAATTCCCTTTTTCAGGACCACTCTGGTTCCGGGGTGCCATAAAAGAAGGTTCAACCTGTATCCCATAACTCAACAATTTTTTCAAGTTTTCAAAAGACAAAAGTCAATTGGCTCCAAAAGTGAAAAATGTGGGCCATGTTCAAGATACATCACCATTGTATGACCATGTTACAACCACCTGAAAATACTTAATTGTGATTGTACCATCACACATCACAAACATGGCAGAGCAACTGGCTTCTCTGTGGAAAGGAGGTATTGGATGATTGCCAATGACACAGCCAAAGATTACTCTTTAGCACTGGCAAAGATCCACATTAAAAGAAAATAGCATAGGATACTGTGATAAGACAGTGATAGCATAAAGAATGAAAAGAGAAATGCAAGAAAAAAGTAACTATGAAGAACAATTCTACATTTTCTACAACTAGCACATACCCTAAACCCATAAAACTTGACAACTGCATCCAATTGCTATTTCTGGAATTCCCTGTGTGAGATTCTGTCCCTTTCTAACTTCTCCCTCTCACTCTGCTCCTGCATGTTCACAAATTCATGATCTCTGACATCAAAGCACAGCAGTTCAAGCCGAAAGCCTGGATCCCTTATTGAAAAAAAGAACTCTCATAGTATATACAGAAGCTCCTCAGATCAGTCAAAATAGCCAAGTTATTTAAGCCAATGACTTAAGTGTAATGATAATTCATACTGTAATTTTCATTGTATTCAACATAACATTTATATTGTTTATTAAAATAATTCAAATTTGGTTATGACTAAATAACTTTTTGAAATATGAAGGGTTGTTTTGGTTTTTTATCCTAGATAGATTGCTAGTATGAGCACTTACTTTTTGCGGTCCTTGTCTTTTTTCAAACTGACGCTAGGTGTAGATGCAAATGCCTGCGCTTGAAGTAACTCAGTAGCAGTTCTCCTTTTATTGAATGCAATCATATCATCTTCTAGGAGTTTTCTTTTTTCCTCCAGCTTCATCCTTTCTTCTTGGTGAAGTCGCTTAAGATGCTCAAATTTAGCCTGTAGCTGTTAACAGCACAAAAATTGCATTTCCACCTAGTGACACAAGGTGGTAGCCTTGCCATAGGAAAATGCACACTAATGCTCAATCTGTAAGATGCATAGGTAACTTGCATTTTATTACTGCAGATTTCTTACAGATCTTGAGCGCTTAAAATAAGTATACAGCTTCATAAATCAAACAGAGGAGCACCAAAATCCTGTTTAAAATAAACTTTAAAAAATTTTCAGAGTGCAATCATATTTATATGCATTTACAAAAAGTGCTTAACTGGTCTTTTTTTTTTTTTTCAAACAGCTTTTAAAAAAAAAAGGGCATTTAGGATGCCATTTCTACAGATTTTATTTTGTGTTAAAAATGGGCACACATGGGTGGCAATTCTTTTCTACCACTAACAGGTACTAAACAAGCACCAAACCTCCTTATTCTGGATGACTGATTACTACACAACATAATGTTGGCACCCATAAATAGCAAGAACTAAAAAGAACACTGGATCTGCATCAGGAAATATCTTCTATGGATCAAAACCTTAGGCAGCATCAGGTAAAATATCTGGAACTGAAGGGAGGACCACCTTTGTGGTTTAACAGAGGAGTATCCAATCATCAATCAAGTGACTAAAGACAAATAACTTGATATAAACTGGAGTGGTGGAGCTCTTTGGTACTGGCACTTTTAAGAGAAGAAAAGATTAGAAGGACATTCAAGAGTTTGGAATTGTTGGGTTTAATATATCAGACTTCTACCTTGCTAAAACTGGGAGGCCAGAAAGCCATAATTTGGTTGTATATGTTTGCAGTGCAGTGTCCATGACTACAATTTGAGTAGTTGGAGAAAAAAAATATTTGTTGGAACTGATTTGTTTTCTGAAGAAACACATATTAGGGTTTGTCTACACAGGCACTTTTGTCAACAAAACTTTTGTGAAAAACAACAGACAAAAGTGAACAGCTCTATGTCAGCATGCGATCATCTCCCACCAACATTACCCACAACGAGCAGAGGTTGATATTTAATTTTGCTGGCATGTGAGTGCTCTCCATTGGCATAACATGTCTACATAGGAGACCTTACATTGGCACAATTGCAGAGATACAGCTGTGCCAATATAAGGTCCAGAGTGTAGAAATACCCTTAATTAGTTACTCTCTTGATCTGTGCAGTTATAGATCCAAATGAACAATGTATGGTCAAAATCTATTAAAGCTGTTAGTATGGATTGCCACACTTGTGAGATTAACAAGTAAGCCCTATAGAAGGCTGATCTGAGGAGCAATATTTAAAAATGACTGCAGGACTACTGTCCTAGACTGGGCAGAGTTCAGGTACAGAGAGCAATGCTGTACAAACTTTCCAAGCACCAACCCTGCATATAAGAGAGATAAGGTAGGTGAGGTAGTATCTTTTACTGAAGCAACTTCTGTTAGAGGAAGGTACAAATCTATGAGCTACACAGAGCTCTACTTCAAGACTGGAGAAAGAAGCAGTATGTCTGACATTTGCAGAACTGCAACTGTGCTATTGCAGAAAATAGTGAAGATGCTACTATGCCAAAAGGATAGCTTCTCTCATCACATAGCTAACTCTACCTCCGCCAGAGGCACAGGTGGAGCTACACCAGGAGGAGATCAGAATAATTGTGTCTCTAAGAGTGCGCTGTCAGTGATTTGAGTTTTTTTCTTCTTCTCTGTATTGAAGAACATTCTCCTGAAGTATTCTGATGGCCTTTTCCAGAACACACTCTATTTCTCTGCTGGATGCCCTTGTTTAGTGAAGGTGGTTTTAAGTATGTTTAGGTGTGTAACTTTCTTTTTGGGGCACATTCTGTGGTATAGTGAGTCTGATGGATAGTTTGGGGCTGCTAAAGTTCTGATAAAAATCTATAAGGAAGTTTAGGTCACATGGCTAGTATCTCCAATGACAAATTATGTCCTTTTTCAAAAGCACTTCACAATGTAATCCTACCCCATTTGACTCATTTTACTGCAATGTTCACTCCAAATTTAACTCTACCAGCAAAGTCTCAATCACCCACCTCTGAAACAAGCACTTCTGTTCTTCTTCCCATGCAAATCAGGATGCATGGAAAATGCTCCCAATCAAAATCTGTGGTTAACATCTTCTTTCACATCCCTCCTCAAAAGTCACCTCTGTCATAATACATGCAGAAAACTGCAGTATGATAATGGCTAGGTCATGGTGAGCTATGATAATTGCTATAGAAGGGCTAAGAATCGTGCACACTGTTACATGTTACCCTATCTCCATCACTCTCTGTCCAAGCCCACTTGTTTCTTTTTTCCATGTGTCCAGTCCTTAACTGTAAATCCTTTGTGGAATGCTATTGTAATTATTATATTACTGTACAGTGTTTAGCACAATGGAACTTAACCAAGTTTGTTCTTTAGGCTCTAGTGCTATACAAAAGTTAATAATTAATAGGTACAATAGTAGTAATTTTGCTCAAATATTCCAAATGCCTGTGAACTAAAAAGAAAAATAGAGATGTATACTTACCTCTCGCTCAGCTTCTTTCAATATTGCTTCTTTCTCCTTGACTCTCTGTACAAACATCTGTCTCATTTCCTCCTCCTTCCGCTGCAATTCACCGAAGAACTCATGCCTCTTTGCTTCATAGGTCTCCTGTAGACTGAAGTCGAGAATTTAAAGCCTATCATATTGTTTGTAAGATAAGGAAATATAAAGAAAGCATGTACATACAGTTTAGCACATTACTTCAACAAGTTGTTCAGCTCATGTACAAATCTCTCAAATTTCTCATATGCAAATAATAGGTATGATAGTTAAATAGAAGCAACTAATCCCTGCACAGATTTTGATCCAAGTAAACATGGATGGGTAGATTTAAAAACTGATAATCGGATTTGAATCACTTCAAATTACAGCAGTTTAGGACTCTTACACATTTTTAAACATGGATTAGGAACACCCTCAATCTCCAATCTGCAAGATTTAGAGCAGAGCTACTCAACTTTGGAAGTTCCGGGGGCCACAATGATACTCACAGCACATGCTGAGGGCCGCAACTTGAGTGTGGTAGCATATATATGCAAATACATATGCAAATATCTTATTTCACACTGACGGGCATAAATACAAAGATACAGGCAAGACTACACAACACACAGGCCCCATTTAAGTCAGTTCTGCGGATATTAATAATATGCAATATTTACCCAATTTCCACCCATATGACAGCACTTTTAATGAGCAATGACAGTCCAGGAATTTAACTACAAGAACACATATCAACAGAAGATTATTATATTGACTACTTTTTTGTTTTGGCTCACACTTGCAGGCCATGTGTTGAGCCCTGCATAAACCCAAACTGCACCGTGGGCCGCAGGCCACATGTGGCCCACGAGCCGCATGTTGAGTAGCCCTGATTTAGAGTTTACAAGAAAAGATGATGTTAGGACACTCAAGATGTTATTAAAGGATAGGAGTTCTCTCATAAATAAATGAAGTCAAAAGGCCCAACCTGAATGAAGGGGAAGAATGTGACCTTCAAACAAAATACATAGGATTCTTTATGTGATTTCAAAACTGAATAACTGTGATAGTTACGTGGCTGTAGGTGATATCTGATTTTACAAGTATTTTAATATCCACAAAATAGGCTTATTTTTTGGAATGTCTGAATTTCCTTAACAACATAATCGTTAGCATGATTTTTTTAATAGTTTTTTTCCCCCCACAGAAGCTCTTATCATACTGATCTTTGAAATTATTAAGAGGGTAAAAACAGTTCAGGCCATCAAGCAAACACCTGGACACAAAACACAGCAGCAGGGTAACAACCACAAAACTGTTTATTAGATCATGCTCCATTATTCCTGTATCCATATCTTTTAAGAGGGAGAAGATACCTATCTTTGAAAAATGTTTGTCATTCTTGGATGAAAAATGCTCTTTCCAATAAAGTACCTGAATAAATGTTTTTTAAGACAGCAAATTCTACGATAACTGAGTTTGTGGGCCAGACCCTCGTCTGGTGTAGATATGGTCATTTAATTTAAAGTAGCTGAGGCTCTGACCCTATCCCTTATTGAACTACCTATCAGCATTATTCCCCAAGAAAGGATCCTCAAAATATTCAGGATTAAGGATAAGATTTTGACATAAAAATCATGGAATCCATGGCTTTTAAAGACCTTAGTGCCACTTTCTGCTTCAGCCTTGTGCTACAGGGCAGTGGTGCTGGAGCTGTCAGCTGCTGGGGCCGCTGCACCTCTGAGACACTGAAGGATCTCTGAGCCACCAGGGTGGCAGTGGGGGCCCTGGAGCTGTCAGCCACCATGGTAGTGGTTGCTGGAGTTCTCCTCTTCCACAGGGAGACTCATCCCTCCTCCCCGGAGTTCGGTCTTCCGTTGCTCCCCATGCTGCTCCCCCTATTCCCCATTATTTTTAGTAAAAGACGCAGAGAAGTAAAGGACCTCTGGGAATTATTGTGTATTGTCAACCTATCCACCACCTGTCAGAGACTTTTACTAAAAATAACCATGACAAAATCTTAGCATTAGCAATGATGCCCCTCTCTATTGTGATGTTACAGATGTGCCCCATTTGCTTTTTCTAATAATCTGATTTTCTTTTCTGGCTGCCAACTTGGCATTTTTCCTCTGTTATCCAGAGCAAGGTTCCTGGCTTCCTCCCAGGCTGCTGAAACACTGCTTCAATATCTTTTTATTCATTAACTTATGTTCTTCCTTTTTGGCACATTAACAGATGTAAGTCCTGTTAAACTCGTACCACTCAAATTAATCTTCAGTGTAATCTACCAGGTAAGAGTTTGACACCACTGGTAGATTAATGAATAATTTTTCAACGCTACTTTCCTTCCTCTTCTATTCTCCCAATGAGGGTTATAAAGACTAAGACAGAAGTAAGTTACTATGGGCACGTCTAGTCTACAGGCTTTTGTCGACAGAAGTTTTGTCGACAGATACTGTCGACAAAGAGCGTCTAGACTACATCCAGTTCTGTCGACAAAGCAAGCCGCTTTGTTGACATGACAGTGTAGATGCAAAGGATAGTGTAGATGCAATAACGCCTACTGTCGACAGAACTCTGTCGACAAAAGGCATTATTCCTTGTAGAATGAGGTTTACAGCCATCGACAAAACTGCTGAGTTCTGTCGACATTATGTTGACAGAACTCAGTGGCAGTGTAGACGCAGGTATAGTTTTGTTGACAAAACTCTGTAGTCTAGGCACACCCTATATCTCAGTACTGATAGTATCACTCTTTCTGTAAGAGGGGTTGTTGATGAAAGAAGGTCTGTGACAAGGGCATTTATACACAAATAAGGTAAATAATATTTAATATCTTACTAAAACACTGCATACTTCACTATAGTACTACAACATACCTTTCTACAGAAGCGTGGCTGTGAGATATAGACTTTTTGCTACCTTTGTAACCCTGTAGTAGGGGGACCCTAAAAACAAAGGTTCAAATCAATCAAGTTTTGCTCACGTTCACTTAGTTTAATTTAAACAGACTCAGTAGGACACAACATTTCATATTTGTGTTACCCATCTCACAAAGTCCAAACTTAGGAGTTGATAAAAACAGTGAGCCAAATAATCTATCTTAAGAGTAATTCAACTGATTCCTCAGATATATTCTATTAATAAAGTTCTCCACTTAACAGAAAAGTTTTAGAACTCTTCATTATCAAAAGCCAACATAAATTAAGGCACTACAATTAACAGTGTCAAACTCTGAGGACTGTGGTAAGGTGTTTTAGGGAGTTCTTCGACTCAGACTATCCCAGAGGTTTTGGCCCACCTGCTTATACTTACTTAGGTGTTTGCCCAAATAAAGGTTTAAACAAGAGGCAACACATATCTAAATGACTGGCTAAGGATGAAATTTAAAACCTTTTTAGCTATCATGTTTTTATATTTATTCTTTACATATACAGGCAGCACAGCACTTTACATAACAGATGGGAAACAAGAATTCTCATAGTGGTGGTTCAGGCCTATGATCCATCTAGTCCAGTATCCCATCTATGTCAGTGGCAAGCAACAGAAACTTCATTAGGTGACAGAAACCAGTGTAGGAAGCTGAGAAAAAGTCTGGCCCCAGCACAGTTTCACCCTAGTATCTAGTAGTTAAAGATGTGTGTCAGGCTTTACACCAGAGGCTTTATATCCTTTCCAATACTTTTAAAGGCACTAAATATAAAATCTGTATCAGTGGTTTTCAAACCTATTTCATTTGCAGACGTCTAAAAATGTTCAGAGGTGTGGATAACTTTGGAAATCATAAAACAACTTGCAGATGTCTAAGGGTCTATAAATCACACTATGAAAGTCACTGGATAGCAAGAATTGCCAAACATCCAAATCCTCACTTAACCTCTCTAGTTTCTGATTTCAAAGACATCAGGTCATTGTGATGGAAAATTCTTCATCTTATAATTTTTGATTTTTGCAGCCTTTCAATTTCACTTAATTTCTCCTTGCTCTTAAATTATGGCCTAGGATGACAGAATCTACCAATCAACCTTCTCTAAACTTGTATCATGTCCCTTTTTATTCATCATCTTTTTACAGTAAACAATCTCAATCTTTCTTCACATGGAGAACTTTTTCATTTCCTAATCTCTCTTGTTGCTCTTCTCTGAAATCCTTCAGAACAAGGACAAGTGCCTGCTTTGAGGAATTTAAAATGTAATACAACAGCCTGGCTTAAAAAAGGATAATTAGACCAAGGAATAACTGGTTGCACCAATTGTGGGCATTCTGTTCCCTTTAAAAGAAATTATCTGGGAAGCTTCTGAGATGCACATGTTAGAAAAATAAAGAAGAAAGATAGATTAGCTTCGAACCAAGAAAGCAAACAAGCATCCTTTTACAAGCTGTTTCCATCTATGCAAACTAGTACTATCTATTTTTCAATGTTTCTGTGATCATGAGTTTTCTTCAGCCAGAGGATAAATATTTTCTAAGAAAATGATTTAGGAAATATCCAGAAGTGGGCCCTAACACAGCATCGGGTCAGCAACCAATGGACTGCATGAAGGATGCTTATTAGCTATCAGCTAACCTCCTACTCAGTTCAGGAACCAGTCAAAAGCCAGGAGTCACTTCATTCCAGACTCAGTCTGCATACCTGGCAAATGCTTCTATCTACAGCAGGGGAAGGAAGAGAGAACAAACTTCTGCTGGATCAGGGCACAATATAATTCCAATCATAGATTTCCAACATATTGATGAGGTACAGGTAATGATAATTCATATCAATGGAAAATGGACTTTAGGACAGTAATTTCACTTTAAAGAGACCAATAGCTCTAGTCAGCATAACTCCTATGTTAATGGCCATATATAAATGGGGATGAACTCCCACAACTATTTATTCCAAGGAAGTTGCAGTTGCTCTGCACCTGTCAGAATCAGGCTCTGATGGATTATGGCTGGCAGCAAGCAGAGACACTCACCTTTAAGAGTAATCTATGTAATTCAAGTACATGACACAAGTAATATCCTGGAAGATTTCTGGACTTTTAAATTGTAGCTTGCAGATCTATTCATGTATTCTCTTCAAAGAGCTACCATACAATTATTTTTTTCTGTCTTTCTCTTTCTCCTCCTCATTACATTCTGAATCCTTTAACAACTTAACTTCCAGACTGGTAACAGGCTGCTATCATCAGGGCTAGTAAATAAGAGTTCTAACCAAATGACAAAACTAATTATGTTTGACTTCAAATAATGAACCCTACACAGAGTTAGATGATGAATTCTAGTTTCACAAACTGTTTATACCACTCATCTCTGATTAAACTGATGTTTGCTTAGTATGCATCACCTACACTTAATATCATTTTGGGATATACTTCACGTGTGAGGCCCTCTCTCATCATGTACCTAAGTGATTCGTCTAATCTCTCTTTCCATACAAGTATTTTTTACAAGGCATAGGTAACAAGATGTATTGAGTAGTCATACTTAACTAAGATTAACACAATCTAAATTACACCCAGTTCCATTTAAGTCCCTTGGGTGTTAAATATAGTGGTGTGTTAGAATTCCATTATAACTAAAAAAATGTCTGGAATGTAGCTACAAATGAAACATAGTTAACTGTTCTTATTACTAAGCAAACTCAGAGAACATAAGATTAAGAGGCCTGCTATATTTATTGGCCTATTTAACCATGGTACATTGCTATCTTTGCTCTCCATCCTTATTTCTTGTTACACCCACTTGTACACTGTATGTTTTTAACTTTTCAGTTTGGAATAGGGTTTCTTTACAGGTTTTCTGAGAGGACCTAGCATGCTTTTGGACATAACACGTCTACTGACTTATATGCAATGGATGCTTACCAACGTAATTTTTCATACTAGCCAATTTATAAAAAACAATTACGGTTCTCTCTGCCTATGACTTGATCAGCTGTCTTGACAATACAAAATCTATTGCAATTGCCCTGCAAAATGAATAGTTTTGGACTAAAAGCTAATATACTACTCAAGTTCAAAATTATCAGTCATTAATTAGGGGCAATTATATGAGGGTATGCATTTATTAAATCATCAAAATGACATATATCCAACACCACAAAGCTCTTAATGAAGCAAAGCCAGCTTATTATTGAAATATAGCAAAATGTTGCTACTTTATACTTTTTGTGAAACCCATTGTAGATTGTCAGATTTTGCAGGTGAACAATTATAAAAAGTCAGGGAAGACTTCCCTAGAGGTACTCGCATTCATTCAGTAATTATTTGTGCAATAATTTTAATATACTATAATATGTTTACTAATATTTAGTACTGTAAAATACTACTAAATAGTAGCAAATGTATATCTATTTTGTAAAAGTGCTGGAGTTTTAGTAATTAGTTATTTAACTCACTTTGTAAATACATTTTTGCTGAAAAGCTTGCCAAGATGGTCATTCTTCTCAGCAATGACTGGATTTGCAGTTCAATAAAGTGGGATTTACTGAGGACCTACTGTATTGTCTCTGTTGTAGAGCTACCCTTTTCCCCTTTTTGCTGATGGATTTAATTCTAATTTAATTTCCATAGTTTATTCCAAGGGTGGGCAATAATTTCTGGCCAGGGGCCACTTTAAAAAAATTTTAAGTGGGCCCCAGCCACCACCGAAGGGGTGGTGCCTAATCTAGAAAGGGTGGGGCCAGAATGCTTCTGGGTTTCCCCAGCCCCAGACCATCATTGGTGAGTCTGGGGGTGGGAGAGCCCCTTTGCTCTGCCCTTCCCACTAGGCACCCATGCCCAGCAGGGCGGGAAGAGGCTTCACACACTCCCCCACTCCCAGGGCCTGATTGGTCTGAGGGAGCACGCGAAGCCTCTTCCTGCTACCCCCACCCTGCGAGGAGCACACGGCACTTCAAAGTGCCACGCACTGCTGGCAGGGTGGGAGGAGACGTCCTGACTGGCCTGGGGGCAAGGCAGATGTGCGAAGCTTCCCTCGCCCTGCGCAAGCGTATGGCACTTTGAAGTGCAGTGCACTCTTCGCAGGGTGAGGGGGAGGGTGGAGGAAACTTTGCATGCTCCTCCTGCTCCCAGGACAATCAGGACTTGGGGGTGGGGGAGCGTGTGACAGCTCCTCCCGCCCTGCGAGCAGCACACGGCACTTCAAAGCGCTGTATGCTCTTCACAGGGTGGGAGGAAGCTTTGTGTGCTCCCCTGCCCCTGGGTCGTAACTGGCCTGGGGACGGGGGAACGGCAAGGCCACAGTGGTCTGGATCAACCCGCATAGCGGGCTGGATCCAGCCCGCAGAGGCCCTTTTGCCCACCCCTTGTTTAGTCTATGATTTGGGTAGCAGTTCCATCAAAAGCTTTATGGAAAATGTTATATTATTGGGCTTGCTGTATATCAAATGAATCCTCTGAATTGTCTCTTTTCATTATGTAGTTATGAACATTTTCCTTCAGACATACCAGGTCCTTCTTTTTTAGTCATCAGTGTAATTTTCATTGTGGTACAGAGCACAGGGAGAACTGCATGCAGATCCTGCTTATTTTTGTCACAATAAATCAATTATTTCCTCAGTTTAAATTCTTTAACTGTACTTATTTCTCTCCTTAAAAAACAATAGTGCCTTCAATAGTTGTGGCTAAGCATATCTAATTCATCTGTTGAGAGTATCCTTGCCATCAAACACAGGGTTCTTAGTAGGCTAGCTATTCAATAGGCCCCCAATGGCCACACATCAACCACTGTTAGAGCTTTCTGTAATTTTGATTTATTGCCAAAGAATATAATTCCAATCAACATCGAGGAAGTAGTGTTAAAACTGATAGGAATAATCAGGGCTCGACAAATACACTCACCCGTGGCGAGTAGATTTTGCCAGCTGGCAAGTGCAGGGGCAGACTGGCCCTGTGGGCCGTTGTGACAGGCTGGCGTAAGCCTGCACTATGGGCAGTGTGGCCCCATCCAGTTTGCCGGC